TTCGGAAGAGAACACATTTCTAATAAGAAATCGAGTCGCGTCCCAGAAAAAGGGTGATCACCAGTACTGCTTACCATTGCCGTTCTCTTACCCCCTCCCATCCACCGTCTGCCGACTCAACTATTACCGGTCTAGCACCATCTCCTGGCGGGTGCGCGCACTTCTGCAGTAATCACAGACGTTGCGTCTGTGAAAACGTCAGATTGACTGACTTGATCTATCACTCGTGTGCCGCTTACTCGCGCATCAACAACTTGCTTAATCCTCTGCTTACGACTCATTCATCTGTATGTTTGTGCTCATCTGCCCAGTTCTTCACCCTTGACACACACTTTCCGGTAACATTCTCATCAGCTTTCATTCTTTCATCCACTCTTTCCCTGCACTAGAGGCCTATGCCACTTACTCACTTGCCAACTGGTTTTCAGCTTTACCTTACCTGACTTATTTTTACAATGCCTCACAAGTTTGCTCAAAATGTACCCCCATGCTCCTGCCTACCTGTCCTTTTTCTATTCCCAGGTCTCCCTCCCCTCCGATTTTTCACTTGCATACATGTTCATAACTTCATTCACATATACGATTATCCAGACATTGCCATTTCTCATCCTCTGTTACATCATCTGACCTCAGCCATAAACACGTGTTTTGACCATAACCACACCGGTTTTCATGCATCCCAGGCCTACATTTACCCACCCTCCGGTCGATCGTTCTGGCTCCTCTGCCGCTCACTTTCCCACTCCACCGCTCACAGCGAGCAGTCATCTTCGCTCGCCCGCTAACCCGCTCACCCACCGGGCGGGCGTCTCGCAGCCGAACGACGGCGGTCATTAATTCGAAAGGGCGCTGAATTCCCACGAATTGCATTCCACCTCGCTCCGACTTTTCCGCGGAACGGGGCTAAAACTGACAAGGCCCGAATCATGCGAACCTTCCGCCGAGCCACAGTGGCGGTGGCGGAGGTGGAGGCGGCGGGGAAGGCCGACACGGAGACGGTGGTGGAGGCGGAGGTTCCGAAGAAGACGAAAGAAGAGAAGTTAGTGGCGCTGGAGACGAAGGTGGAACGTGGTGGTGGAGGGGAGGCGACGATGGTCACAGGGGTGGGGAGGGAGGCACCGGCGAGGTAGGGGCGAGAAGGCGGGGAGACGGCCGGCGGAACGCGCGGCGAAGAAGAGAAGTAATTGGCGGAGCTAGAGGTCGAAGGTGGAGCGGTGTGTGGCGGAGTCGGATGGCAAGGGGATTGGGGAGGTAAGACGGCGCGGGCGGCCGCGGCGCTCACCTGCCGTTCACAAAGGAGACGCGGGTCGTGGGAGGGCGAGTGCGCTCCGCGGCACGGAAGTGACGCCCGATGCTTTCCCACGAACGGCCTGCGTGATCCGCCACTGAAGGCCACTACCGATGTTTGGAAGCGAGCGGGATGGAGTTGTGAAGTCTAACGTTCTGTTCGACGTGGACTGAAAGTTGGCACTTAAGTTGACGCCGCTCTTTTACTTTCTCTTCACAGTGCATTTGCGTAGTTAAGAAAAAATATTGTAACTAACCATCTGTCCGTTCGTGGTCAACGCTAGCGCCTAAATCGATCAGACGATCTTTTTTAGGAAAATTGAAAATCCCCAACAATTTGGCCGACCTTGACACCCTGTCAATGTGAATCGGGTATTTTGAGTTTCGAGTGTACTTTTTATGAAGTCTTAACAGCATTTTCAAATGTTTTAAAATTGTCCAAACGTTTGGCTTATTTTTTCTCGGATAGAGTAAAGAAAATTAAAAATGTAATATGTATGCTAGTATGCTATTATGTAAACCACGGCATTTCATTCTAGATATTTACCAAAACTTGGTGTGCATGAACTAGAGATCAATCTACTTCTCTTAGGTTAATAAAGGGAGTAGGTTTATTGCATTTTTGCATTTCTAGAAAGGGGCAGAACTTCGTTTCCCCTAAATGTGACAATTATTTTCGTTCTGCAGTCACTTTTTTCGGAGCATTATTTAAAATATGTTTATGAAAAAATAAGAGGCGTGTTAACTTGCCGAACGAAATTCTCAAGCTTAAATATTTATATTACAACTAACGAGCCAGTCTGAGCCAATTTGAACCCCATCCACAAGATATTTCGAAATACCTACCTAACTATTGCCTTGCAATAGCTTTGTCAATTAAATTACGTAACAAATTACAAACTCGATTGTAGAAGCACGTGATATCCTGAAAACATTAAATAATTCCTATCCTAAAATTATTAAACGTTTTTGAGGGTTCTCTTTGGATAATTCTCTATTCCGAGGCAACATCACATTCTGTAATTGCAAAAATGAAACAGCTGACAGGAGAACCACATGCAGAGTCCAAAGTGAAAAGATTTTATAAAAGAAATACGAATAAAACTGAAGGAAAAAGATTCGAAAGAATGGATGAATTTCAGAAATTGTAAAAAAAGAAACCTTCGACTAGCAGATAAAAATCCAGCAATCCGTTTTTCGAGGAAGAAGTTGAGTACTCACATGAGGTTTAGATTAGAGCGTATCGATTTGTCTTATGTCCATCTTATTGCCAAAGGTGATCTGAGCTGTGACCGAGGGTTGTTAAAGCCGCCAAATAATTTGTACCATAGATTGTGTTTGTGGGTGAACAGAGCATGAAAGCACGCGAAGAAATTGACAGCTACCAATTTCACTAGAGGAAATATTAAAAGACACATTATGTTCCAAATTCATAGTTTACTTAAAATATATTAATCTATCAAACAGTTTTTAAAAGTGTAAAATGTAAAAAGCGATAATTTCCTCACTTAATGTTTGGAAGTCTTGTTTAGACATTTATGTCGTCGCTGGATCTCGCCGTTAGCGGATGATCAATCATTAATTGATCTCACAATCAATCGCATTAAAAGTTCTTTTCAATAATCTCCATGAAGAATTATAAAAAGAACGTTAACATGATAATTCAAATAGAAATATTTTCTCCAACAAACAAATTGAAATCATTGTTTTCGTTTACAAAGAAATTTGAACTTTCTAACCAAACAAAGTTTAAGACATTTTTCGTTAACGGAAAAGCAGCGGACTCTAGAAGCGTTATCACTGGCTACTATTTACCGGATTTATAATAATTACACTGATGTTGATTAATATCTAAAAATTAATAGAATGGACGCTACTCAGTCGTCCTTTATTCATGTTTTATTATGCAAATTGCAATCAATCTGTCGACAGCAGTACATGTTGCGTCGTGTAGCTCGAACAAGAGCGTGACTAGTTATAGTGGTGATTATAAACGTGAGGTTATAGTTAGAGAAGTGAATAAAGCTGGCTGTTAGATAAAGATTGAAAGTTGAATGTATTTAAACCTAAAGATTAGTGAGTGCTTACAAACGCAATGTCCATGAAACGTCAGACAAATTTGTTCCTTTACAGTGAATCTAATTACATATAATGTATTACTTTATGACACAATGTGGAAAGTATAAATTGGTAATATAGTGTACTATAATATACACTGAGGCGGCAAAACTCAAGGGAAATTTCCTAATATTGTGACGGACCTCCTTTCGGCCGACGAAGTCCATCACATGAGTATAAATGAAAGCTCTGGTTATGCCTCGTCTTTTTATAACTTCTGTGAGCTATGCTACTGCTATCTGTATGTTTGGATATTATTATCCCGTGACTTTTGTCACCTCAGTGTACATGTAGTAGAATCGTGATATATAAATATATTTTGATTATATTTTCAGTAACGTGTTTTACTTTATTTTCTCAGCGAAAACTGGTTGCATTGTTTCAAAATTTGTAAACCTCCCTCATTCATTAGTCTTTGAGAATGAATTAGTTTGGAACGAAATAGACCGAGGTAGCGTAGCATTAAATAAAAGGAAAAAATATAAACATTTGTTTGTTTTTGGGCTGCGTAGCGCTAGCTAGACTTTCTTGACTAGCAGCTCATTTATGAAATTGCTGTTAGGGAAATTAAATGTATCATCAAAGGTTTAATTAAAATACATACACCATTTCAATCAAATCAATATAATTCTTTTATAGGAAATATTTAGTTAATTTACGAACACTACAATTAACATATGGACACAAATATTGAAACTGAAATGATGAGAATATAATTAATATTACAAATTAAATATCTGGCACATTTCTTGACAATTTCACAATTTTATGCTCCGTAATTTACAGCTATAAGAAGCGTTTTAATTTACATTATTTTATATGAGTAAAGACTACACTCAGGGACTGTAAAAATTACTTTTAGATTTCAAACATCTTATCATTTATATGAATATATACAATAGAACTTTCTTATCAAGCGGGCATGCATCAAGAATATTTTAATTCAAAAGAAAACTGAACTGCGAACCATTCATATAATCAATATGGTTGAAACTCAATTTTAACAATTTTCAACCATACTTCCAATTAGTATATATATATATATATATATATATATATATATATATATATATATATATATATACACACACACACACTTCATTAGATGCTTGTGAAGTGTCAGTGAAATGGTTTTATAAAGTTTATAGTACGCTGATACGGGGAACCAATAATAAACAAAACGATAGTATTCAAAAGTAAATTAACAATAACATAGAGAAGAGCTATTGAGATTCAATATAGTTTAACGTTATAACTTTATTCCTTTTTGTAAACGCATTCAGAATACATATAGAATACCTATTCTGTGAATTAGTTGGTCCTCACCTCAAATTCAAAGATTTGTGTGAGACCAAGCATAAATGAACTTGAAACTATTAAAACATTTTACTAAGGGTTTCTATTTTTTATTATTGTCCGTGAGAAATAGCTGGTTATTTAAAACAGGATATCTAGGGTATATAATTAAATCATCGAAGATGCGGAAATTTGAAAATTGTTAAGACGCAAGGCTATGTTTCTCCCAGTTCATGGCACATTCTCAAAACTATTTTCCCCCGGTTTTTTTTATAAAGTGTCATATTTCTGTTTCTGAGTCAGAGGAGTAAACTACCACCTGCAACTGGTTCCAAGAACGAGAACATTTTCGTGGAAAATGCACGAGGTCCGAGGAAGTCGAACATTCCATGAATTCTGATTACGTAATGTTCTTCATTCATGAGGACCGGTTCGTGCTTCCCCCAATTAGGACTGTTTCTCAGAGGGAGTCGTTTCAGGCCTTCCACACCTCCAACCAATGGACGCGAGGACACTTTTTCTACTCCCATCGCCAACAAGCTGCACCTGCAGATTAATATTCGTTACGAGATATTCCCTGGAAATTAGTTCTGTCAACTATTCCTCAAACAGTCGTGTATTTTTCATCGGGGTTCTAGTACTCGATATCGCGTCATTTAACACAAAATATCGGGCCTTTCTATGGAAACACGGAATGGGTTTTTAGCGTTAATCCTTTCCTCTTTATAATAAAACTAGGTTACTGAATACTTCTGAAAAGAACTATAGGGTCACGCACGACGTAAAAACGTTCAAAACGTGGACCATCCAGAATAATTGTAAGGGACAAATGGTTAAAAAAATTGGAGCTAATTTAAAAAAAAAATAGAGCTAAGTTTTTAAAAAAAATTGAGATAATTTTAAAAAAATTGGAAGATAATTTTTTAAAAAAATTGCGAGAAATTTTCAAAAAATGTCATGACCTCAATAGTGGAGTTCTTACATTTTAACAAACAGTAATTGAAAGATTGCATCACTGAAGTTCTGACTTATTGATATTGATAATTTGAACACCGTAAAGTTCTGATTACGGATATTTAAACACCCCCTAACAACAAGAACGATACTGAGTTCACTATAAAGAAGCCAAACAGGTTGGCGACTAGCTGAGTCAACAACGTGCGTTTTCCTACGGTGGACAACGGTTGATACGGTTCCTACGGTGGCAACAAATATTTCCAAGCAGTACATTGCGTTTAAAACGAATATTAAGAACGGCAAATTACGGACGAAAGGGAGTGGAAATGAGAAGTCCCTCGCGCGTTCATCGCACCCATTCCCAACGTGTACTCTCCGTGGACGTCGCTTTGCGCTTCAATTGATCGTATCGCCCGCCGATCATCTGACCCTCAGAAGGCTTTAGCCTACCCCCCCTCCGCATCCCTCGCCCGCCTGGGCGCCGGGTCTTGGCCCGCCAACCCATTGGCTCGTAATGGTAGCCGCCCCCACGTCCTCTTTTCACTTTCTGTATTTCTTTAACGAGTAACTACAATACACCTCCCTACACCTTCTGTGTGTTTCCAAACTAATATCCCTTTAGTATTGCTCTGAGTACTTGCAACATTCGTTGCGTTTCTATCTCTCACAACGGTACTTTCCCCACTTGTTCGACTTGAACTGAGCCTACCAGCAGTGTCGCGTGGTACTGACAGACGGCCCTTGGCAGCACGCACGAAGGCAAGGCGGTCGGGTGTGAAGCGAGGTTGCAAACGGAAAGGAGGGAAGGGACAAAAGCGAATAAACGAACACTGGGTGATCAACAAGGCGAACCCTGGAGCGATCGAGGATGTAGGCGGAGCGGTGCGTGGGTGGGGGTCGTTCGTCGCAGATGTCAATCGAGCAGGTGGGTGGGCGAGAGGGCAGGCCTGCGAGCAGGCGGGCAGACGAGTGTGCGAGCGATCGAGCGAGAGGGCAGCCCAGACAAAGGGGAAGCATGCAGTCGGGTGGGTGGCTGGGTAGATGGGTGGGCCGGCGGACGGGCGGAAGTACGGGTACACCAACGCACGGGCTAGCGGGCGAGTGT